GCAAACAAGCTAAGTAATTGGAGCAGTTGACTCTGAAAAGCTTAAGTATCAACTGAAGGGAACTGTTGGACAAAGCTGGCATGTTGGGGAAGTGTATGTTTCTAACCACAGATTGTGATGAGATTGGAGAGAAACTTGTTTTTTACTTGTTGAGTTGGACTCTTTGATCATTACCTCTTTTTCCCCACAGCCATTTTGTTGTATTCAAACAGTAACTACCAACTTTTGTTGTTATGTTTGTCCTTTATGAACCTGTGGATCATTTAAATTTATGTTTGAATCTTTTTAGAAAAATTCTCCATTTTCAGAGGAGCAGATAATGCAGGTAAGTTACCATGTAACCATAGCTGTAATAAAAGTTCATGCAAATGTCAAACACTTAAGGAAAACATTTTATTTTTTAATTTGTAGACTGAATGATAAATCAGTCTAGAATGTAGAGTGGGTGTGAAAGTAGGTTTTTTTTAGTGCTTTTAGTCACCCACAAGTAGACTGAAAAGTCTTTCAGTTGTTAAGTTAAACCATTTGGTTGATTAGGCGAGTGATAAAACTTCTAGGATACTGTGACTTTTGTGTAAGTAGAGAGTGCTGTGAATTTAAAAATCCTATACAAAAATCATTGAGCTATTATAAGGTTGAATGGAAGTCTGCAATTCAGTGTTTTGTATGGATTTGGGGACTTTGGAGTGAGACGCATCCAAGGATTGGGTAATAAAACTCATATCTGTTATTTTGCAGATTGTTTAGTTACCGGTACCAAATTTATGAGTTGATATAGAATAATAATCAATTTTGACTCATAGTTGTAAATGTACGGTATGCAATGCATGTGTGCTGCAAACCCTTAAATAGCATTTGTCAATTTTGCTTTCACTGTTTAATGACTTACATTTCAGTTACTGTCAATTTATGAAAATCATATATGTGATCTGGACATTTTTAATATAAGAGCAATCTTTGCAGTAATAAACAGTAATAATGCAGTAATAAGCAGCAGTGAAAATGAGGCCTTAAAAAAAAAAAAAGAAATTCAGGTCTGTGCAGGATTTGAATGCATGACCTCTGCAATACCAGTACAGAGCTTTACCAACTAAGCTAACAAACCAACTTGAAGTTGCTGATGAATTAATGCCTGTGAGTACATGAAAATCATTCAAGCCGTATTAAATCATTCAAGTGTGTAAATCATTACTGTGAAGATCTCTTTCATATTCATTTCTAAATCCGCATTAATTCAAAGTCATTTACACATCACGGGTTTCTTACAAACAAACAAATCCTGAACAGGACTGAATTTTTTCATGCCTTACTTTCAATACCGAGAAAATCGCTCTTGTATTCACTTCTTTTTCTTATTCTAGCTGTTTTTGGACACTTTCATTTGCTCTACTTTGGTTACTTTTTTTTTACAGTGGTTTATTCAAATGACTATGGCTCTGCAGCATATTCACTCCAAGAAAGTTCTTCACAGGTAAATTTTGAAATAATGGCAGATGCCTCAGATTTGTAAAGTAAGTGTGCAAAATAGATAGGAAAGAGCAAAGAAACAAATATGCGCGCGCAGGGCCGTCTGGATCACAGGGAGACAGACGTACTTAGTCGTCTCGCTTCACTCTTGTTTCTCATGAGTTCGTTGGACACTCGAGGAGGAGTCTGTTAGTGCTCGCTTATTTCACGTCCTGTCCAAGGTTTCTGTTCCGAAAAAGATGCACTGTTCAAGATGCTAAATGATGAAATTACATACCATTTTGAAGCTCAGGAACCAGAAGACTATGCACGTTTGGGCATTTAAAAGCCTTTATGGTGAAATAAGGATGTGCCACCCTTCTTTCGTCCTTTCCTCACCCTTTCCCACCCCTCCCCTCTGAGGGAGCTCAGCTCTCCTCATAATCCGGAAGCTCTCTGCTAACTAAGTGAACCGTACGAACAGACGAAGAGCGAACGTCCAACGAACGAGCGAAGGGAAATCAAGGAAATGCGAACCAAGGAACAAACCTTACAAAAGATTGAATATACGAGTGAACGAAGAATAACCGAAATCCTAACGAATAAATGAAAAAAACGATTGCGTGGAAGGTTTAATCTAAAAACCAAGAAACGGGTGATCTAATGCAGATGAAATAAAAGAATAAAGTTGTGAACTATTCCCGTCTCTTTTCCTTTTTGAACAGAACGTGACCTTCATCCAGTAACACATGTTTTTTTTATTTATATTTCAGAGATTTGAAATCACAGAATGTGTTCTTGACAAAGAAAGGAGTTGTTAAAATAGGTAACAAGATGTTTTATATCACTCACTACCTTTTTTTAGTAGAAAGGTTGTCTTGTTAAGGTTCCATCATGTTCATGTGACACTTGGCTCGCCAGGCAGACATACAGACTGATAAGCAAGAGGCAGACAGATAGACAGATAGACAGATAGACAGATAGACAGACAGATAGATAGACCGAAAGATAGACAAGAGGCAAACAGATGGAGAGACAGATGGAGACAAAGAGGCACTGGTAGTAATTATCAACACTTCTCTCTTGAGTTTTTCTTCTCATTATTTCCGTGTTAGGTGACTTTGGAATTGCGCGAATGATGGAGAACACTTTTGATATGGCACAAACTTGTTGTGGTACTCCATGTTACTTGAGCCCTGAGCTATGCCAAGATATGCCGTACAGCTCCAAGGCTGATGTCTGGGTAAGGACATTCATCGGTTGTGAATCTAGTTAGTTAGAGTCCTGCAAAGGGTCCCCACCAATAGGAGAGTCCAATTCCAAAAACATTTACGTGCCCCTTGATCGTGAGAATTTGAAAGCCGGGAAAAGTAAATAAACTTTAACGTTATACTGAATAATGCTGAATATCTGTATGGTCAGAAAACTAATACTTCCTTCGGTCCAGATCAGTTAGCCCTATTAGAGCAGTTTTCCATCGACTATCGATTAACTAAAACCAAAGTAATTTCAACAGCCAGTCATAACAAAGATCAACACCATTATTAGCCAATAAAAACTCAAAGTTAAAACAGGCATACAACCAAAAACGCGTGGAAACGCCGGTGACCAAGCCACGATTGTTTCGTTTTGCGTCTGATTGGTTAAGGGGATGGCGCATTCTTTTTAGACCAATCACAGAGCGGAATAAAGCAGAAGCAAAGTAATCCGCGATTCCTTTCTAGACTCACCATAAGTAACGGCATCATAAGAATATTTGCAAGCGCAATGCTTTACAACGCGCGCTACCGAGGAATTGATGAGTAAACTGTTTTCTTTTCGCAGGCCCTTGGTTGTCTTCTTTTTGAGATGTGTGCGTTGCGTTATGCTTTTGATGCAACAAACTTTGTCAGTTTGTTTTACAAGATTGTCAAAGTGGACCACGGAGTAAGCCTTTAAATTTATTTATTTTTCTTCATACAGCTTTCCTTGAGGAGGGTTCATGTTAAACTGTACCGATTAATCGCTTGCGATTAGGCTCTCTTTAGTGCCGTGGTGAGAGCGGCCAAGCCTACGATATAACAGCCGGCGAGGGTGCAAGAGTTCTTGCGTGGGGTTTGGCACTAAAGAATACTCGCGGACTTCTCGCGCGCTCATATAGTTCGCCAGTCGTGTCGCATTGTTTTATATTTTTTCTTCTTTCCTTTCAATTTGACGTCACTGGTGGTCCTTGAATCTGATTAGTTGTCAGCATTACAATTTCTTAACTGCGATTATTTGCGATCAAGAATGACGTTGCTTTTTTCCTTTTAATCTCATCTAGTTCCCAACGGCTGAGATATGAAATACCAAACGAAAAAATCACCCAATCAGATTAAAAGACCTGTGAAAGTAACAAACTGGATTCCAGAGAACGGAAGACAAATTTAGAAGAAAAAGTGAAAAAAATTTACAAACCGACCACTGAATCGATTTTGATATCATTTTGATATCACGCATATAATTTTTCAATTCAGTTCAATGACCATTGTTAATTTTCTCTCTAGGAAGTTCCATCACGGTATTCGCCTTCCTTAAAAGCCCTCATCAAACAACTTTTGGCAAAGTCCCCGGATGACAGACCATCGTAAGTGAGGGTTCATTTGACTTTTCACATAACAATCACTTGCTGTAACGCTAAGCACGTGATCCTCCCTGTAACTTGCTTTCATCTTCCAAGATGAGGTGACAATAGCTGCCGTTTGACCGTTGGATTCAAGTTCGAGTTACCCACGAGTTACTGCTATGAATTAATTATTTTCTTTTTCTCTATTTGTTTTTTAAAATATATTTTAACGCTAATTTATCTTTTCAGTGCGGGAGCAATCCTTAACCTGTCTTTTGTTCAAGAGCATCTCGCAATTTTCATCAAAGAAAAGGAAAATCTCCAAGAGTCGTTGCATGCAAAGTAAGTAAACTCACCTAGTTCACGATACGCTCCATATCAGAAGTACGTTTCAGAATACCTTTCTAATGGCATCCTACAAAGCTAGGCGACGGATATACACGAGGTTCCTACTATGTAAATCAGGGATTCTGATTGGTGTTGCAAATTGTTTGGCTATAAATCATTTAGCCAAAATTCTAAGAGTGGCTTGATTGGTAGTGAACAGTGCCCAAACGAAACTCAGTGTATGTCTAGAGGGCGATTTCTGCCAAACATGATGACATTATCAATCATGTCTTGTTGTTAGACAGCTGTTGAAGACCGCAGCTGGGAGTAGAAACAAGTCTCCCAGCATGCCTCAGCGGCCATTGTCGGCTGCAGGAATCAAATCCCCGGATGAGAACCGCAGATTGACGAAGGTCAGATGCAAGTCAGCTCAGCCAATAAACAGAGAACATCAGCCAATACCGACAGAGCAAAAGAAAGGTATGACACATGATCAGCTCTTGACCGTCGTCATCAGATACTTACACTGACCATGGTAGCTAAACAGTACTTCCTACATACTTCCAGAGCCAAGCTCTAATGAAGGACTAACGCTCGAAATGTCAGCTTTTAAGACACTTTACGGTGGCCAATTTACGTTATCAACTCTGTTGATAAAACCAAATTCTTATGTGGAAAGATTTTTGTTGTGGAGACAACAAATAATTTAACCTTTTTCTAAAATATATATATTTTTCTGAACTAAATGATGACACAATGCCCACTCGAATATTATTTGACCATGTTACATTCAGAAGTCAGTCCAATATGTCAGCCGGAAGACCCTGGCGAGTATTCCGACGATTTCGACGAGTCGGACGACGAAGATTACTCGGATGAATTCGAAGATGATTCGGAGCTAAACGGTAACTCACTGAAGAAGCCATTATCTGCAACAAAACTGACAGAAAGTGGAGGTGACGAGGAGACAGAAAATGAATATCCTGATGACTTTGAAGATGACTCCGAAGAAGAAGAGGTATGTTGTAATCAGAATACGATTGAAAAACGCAGAGAGCATTAAAAGATTTACTTTTCCTCAAGTGGAATTATCCAAATGTTTGTTTACCATACTATTTTCTCCAGGTTCTAGGTGACATTTTGACCAATGCCAGAGCTGCTCATGATGGTGAAGGTGAGTCCTGCTTCCATTTGGACGATTAGTTAAATGCAAATGCCATGGGTCTATTGAGAAATTCCAATATGGAGGATGGCTCTATGCTACTGAATCATGGCTGGACTTATGGTTCAGATATTACTTAACAAAAAGATTCCACGTTGCCGTATCTCTGTTCAGTAATAGATCCCAAATGACATCAAAATGTGGTAAGAACAAAAATCTGGCAGATGAGACGCAGCCGAGTGTGTCACCGATGTCTTTGTAACATTTTGACGTCTTATGCGAGCTTTTATTAAACAGACCCCCGACAACATGGAATCAATATGTTTTATACCATGTAAAAGCAAAATGTTGTTAATGGTGACGTCATCTATGCATCTGTCCTCTGATAGGTCATATGCGAGAACCAATCAAAATGCGTGAATGATTCAGCTTATCATATATTTTAAACTGCTGTGTGTCCTGGTGTTATTATTATTATTATTATTGCTTTGTCCTACAACTAATATTGAAATTCCTTGTCACAGTACCGGAAGAAGAAGTCGTTGAGGACTCCGACAGGCCATTGTCTTGTAAACAGAAGCTCAAAGAGTAGGTGGATAGTGATATGCTATGTCATGCGCTACTTACACTAACCAATTTTGTACTCTGCCCTTAAGATTCCTACCTCTTTCAACGAGAACTCTTCCGTCGCCTTTTAGATCTTGGAAATATGACCCGAAAGTTCTTCGTTTGCAAGCTGAGATGATCTTCTCTGTTCTCTATCATCCTTGATCACTTATGATTTAATTTATTGCTCTTGTATTGGCGTAAGATTTTTTCGTGCTATCTCATCAGGCATGTGATAACAGTTATCGGAGAAAAAATGTTTGAGGAAGTACGGGAGAGGTTTGCCAAAGGAGAGTTGGAAACTGATCAAAGGTAGGGATGTTTTCGATCGATTGACGCGGGTGTATAGTTGTTGGTGACAATCATAGTCGGCGAGGGGTAGGGTAGGGGCAGGAGGTTGTTCTAATTAGAATGAAAAGCTGTAGAACATAGTTCAGGTCTTGTTTATTTTTACGATATGATGAAAATTTTGAGGATACGGATGAGGTGTCACCCACTCCCTCTTCCTCCCTTACCCTCTTTAAAAGCAGTGAAAAGACAGTTACAAATAAGTCATAAAGAGTGCTATATAATGGAAGAAAACTATATAACAGCTTCTTACACTTTTTTTCACTCTCCAGACCTGAATTCGAACAAGTAACAGGATCCAAAATGATGGAAACTTGTTATCTGGTGAACGAGTTATTCATTGGATCAGAGAAAAGAAGTTGACTTTGTCTTATACATAGAATCACTGCTGTGTCAGAGAGAAAGGAACGAACCTATGACTCCGTTTCATAGACATTGATAAATCTTAGTTTTTTCTAGCAAGATTTAGCGATCATCGTGACTAATTTAACTTAGAGCTTTCGAAGAGTGGGCGTTATGCTTTAGTATTATTATAATTATTATTTTTATTATTGTTATTGCTATGATTATTATTATTATCATTTTTATCATGATTATTGAATCCTCTACTGATTTTACCACAAGTCTAGACATTAAGATATTTGGCAAATTTAAACTTTTCTACGACTCTGTCAATCCTTGTAAACAAGGAATTAGAATTGTGTTTTCATTTCAGTTGTAAATATATTTGTATCTATTGTCTAGCCAAAAATTTATTGTGTGAAAAGTTTGTATATTTTTAGAAATAAATTGCAGATAGAAGAGAAAGTCGTCATTAGATGATAAGAGCTGGGTAACTGGCCAGAGCACACAGATGATTTTTAATACCGATTCTAAATTTGCCTTTTTGAAAGGAATGTTTTTTGAAGCACATGGCAAAATTAAAAATCCTTTCGACTTTGTTTGAAGCTGTTTGTTACCTGATGTTGGAAACTTTCCCATGTGTTACACTCATTACAATTGTTCCTACATGGTGCCCTTTTTGTCTTAAAAATTTATTAAAAAGAGATCAAATGATTTCTTGGATATAAATGAGGGTATGCAAAATTTTCAACTGCAAACATATCTCGTCCTACGGGATCTTGTTTCGTCTCAACTTCCTGTATATTAACCACAATCCTGAAAGCTTTTGATGGAAATTTCACCTTATTATATTTACTTAATTTTCCTCTCATTTAGTATGCCAGGTTGCAAAAACACACAAAAATTGACTTGCTGAGCTATCTTGACTTTGAGTGATTGGCTGACAATATTAAAACGGCTCGCCTGCTTATATTCACGCATTCAGATTGGTGTCGCAGAAATCCTTCCGCCTTTGTGAACAATTCATCATTCAAGAACTGGATTAAAAAGGCCGTAGACCTGAAAATGATTTTGTGAAGCTCATTGGCAATCAGGTGAGACTAGAGACCAAAAATTAATGTAACTGCAATTATTGGCAATACAAATATGAAAAACATGACGGTGAGGTGAGCATGCTGTCTAATCGTGCGCAGCGTTTGATTTCAGAGTAATACTCGCCCAAAAATGTGGGTACTCCTTTGCTGGCTGAAATGAGACCAGCTGTTGACTTTCTAAAGTTTACAGCATACAGATCGAATACAAAAGCGAAACTGGGTAAGTCTTGCGATCAGTGTAGCAGAAAAATAATATTGCAAATTTTGAAATGTCAATGAACGTGATATTTTGATTCGTGTTAGAGAAAAAAATAGCGTGTTCCTTCTAATATTACCATAAACAAAGGAAAAGTTTTATTTCAGAGAGCTCAAAATGCACGTATAGCCCACCATTTACATACAGAATGAGATTCGGGTCAATTAAAACATAGTAAATGGAGTGAACTCGGTGATAAGTCTCGGCATTTATCACGCAAGTTCCCATTGTTTTCATTAATTCTACGTAAAAGTTACTGACTGAAATTTGGAGCAAAGCGACCGCAGTTGACCAAGTGTTCATTAGTCGCCCACATGCTCGCGATTTCATTATGTTTCTTGATTAATAATTTCGATCTTGGGCGTCTGAACTCAAAAGCAATCGACTTCTCATAGTCAATCAAAATTGTAATAAAAACAACCCCGCCGTACTGTGATCGAAGCATGTTTTCAAAGTTTTGACTCGTTCCTGATTGTAATCTAATATCATGATGAGAAAACGACAATATTTTCCGAAGGAAGTACAATTTGATTGAACAGGTGCAAAGTTGAAATGTTTCCCAGACTAGTTTATTCCTCGATGTGGTCACGGAACCACTTTTTCATCCCTCCTCACGATCATTTTAAAACTTCAAGAGAGATACATCATCGCGCTTGTAGATAATCATTCATCAGGTAACATATGCGTACTTCAGAAGTTTTAAAAAATTTCAAAAAGGTGACATTTTTTTAATCCTCCTGGTCTCCCGAAGTGAAAGTATATTCTACTGAAGCTCTCTGCTTGATCGTAGAGTTTCGTTTTTGTTTGTCATTTTGATAAACAATAGTTTTTAAGCATTCAGACGAAGAAAATACGAACGAAGCTGTCTTTATCAACTCTATATGAAAATAGAAACGAGTGAGTATGATGACATTTTCAAATACACCTGTAAAAACTATTATTCCATGTTGGGGTCTACGCTTAAAATGAGGTCAGACTCCTGTGCAAACTTCTCCCCAACCTCCCCGCGGGCAAAGAAACGTGATTCGGGAAAGTAATTAAAAAACCAAATCCGAAATCGAATGCTGAGATAACTATTGTAGTCAGTTGTGCAAAACATGTTATTTATCCGAGACTTGTGGATCAATCATTTGCCTCAGCCTTCGGCATGGACAAATAATTGATCTTCTCACCACAAGAATATTTTTCTAAAGTTGTTTTAATGATTGTTCGTTGTTTTGGTTTTACGTAACGATACTAATACTAGCAAAGAAATCAAAATTGAGATATTGAGACCAACCTGATGGAAATTGATAAATTGCAGTCTCCTGCCTTCCCAGTAGACTCCCTTTTTGTATTATATTAAAACAAGTGGTATATTGGAAACATAGGTAGAATATCTTAAATGAAAAAATTAGTAGTATATGCAAACTGTAATCGTTAATATTACTGCGACAGAAAATTTTATATATATCTAACCCCATGGCAGAGGTTGGACGCATTTATGCGAGTGCGTCAGGAAGAAATTAAAAAAAAATCTTTTTCGCTGGTGGCGTATTAGTGAAGACACCTGTCAATATGCTGTTACACCCCGTTGACCACGCGTAATCAGTTCTTTTATTTTCAAACGTACCGAAAGATCAAGTCAGTTTCCAATAGAGATTAAGGGATTTTGCTCACTAATTTGTCAGATGTGTAACTTGCATTTTTCAAGTGCACTGGCAAGTAACTGATCGTTTTAGACATTTTGGAGAATGTGATTTTAAAAGACATCTTCACATCCAATTGCTCTAAATACAGCTGAGGTAAGAGTAAATTAAATTTTTTCCGTTTCAAGGTAACTTAAGATCGCCTGATCGCACAAGTCGTGTCGCATTTTACAAAACTGTCTGAAAATCTTAATGATCTCCAGTAAAAAGCGCCTTTTAGAGCGCAATGTAAGTTGCAAACGTTTTCCTGAGCAAACGTCAAAAAAACCGTAGTATATACACATATGAAACTATTTAATGTTGGGAACATTTGGCAAAAGCGATGACAGAATCATTTTCGATTAACTTTATGTTAATTTTGAAAATTTTAATGTGTTCACGCCAATCATCTTGCAAAATGTGAATGAGCAAAATATATTTTGTCAAAAACTCTTGGATGCTCTTCCGGAAACCAAACTCTACATAAACCTGAAGACATCCTTTTCCCTAATTTTTTACCTATCGATTTGAAACAGACAGGGATTTGAACATTCATTTATGCGTAATCGACCAGTCAGAGTGATAACATCTCGTTTCCCTAAGTCTAATCAGTTAGTGGACATCAATTTCCGCCGAAGAATAAGGAACAATTTCACATGCATTACTGCTAAAGTTTATCTTAATCTGTATTGATTGTTTTATCCCTGTATTGTCAGATATTGCGTTCGCTAAGAAAATTTTGCCAAAGTGAGTCTGTGGCTAGTATTTTGTTGCGCACCGTGTTCTGTACATGTAATAGCGCGCGCTCAATTAGCCACCATCTTTAAGCTGTAGATTTTGAAAAACAAAAACTACTGTCAGAAAAAACCCTAGGTCGAAAATCATTCGAGTTTATCACTTCTGCATGCGATATTGTGTTCTAAAGAACAATTATGATTTTACTACTGTAAATTGTTCAGCTTTAGACGGTCTAGCTCTTTAGCCTTTTTTGTCTTGTGCATATATATACGCGCATGCAGCCCTATTTTTTAGACTTGGTAGTTCTAGTTATAATCTCAAAGAAAGCAATTCATGGTCAATTGACTGCTATTAACTCGCCTCTCTTTACTGTGGTTGCTCAATCCTCGTTATAAAAGTGAAAATAAACAAAGAAACCACTGGACAGAAAGTATGTAACTAAAAACAAAACAAAACAAAAAACAACAACTGAACCAACAAATTAAACTATACAAAAGAGTTAAGGATTTTGGCTCTTGGCTCCTAAGTATGGCATGGCGTGGAAGTCATTTTATTTGCTGCAGCTAAATTAATTTCATGTATTCAAGCTACAATTGCCACAAACGCGAATAACTGGGTATCTGAGGTGTTAATTGTATAATTTGTGGTCGTTAAGCAGTTCGTAACTTAGATAGCCAAAATATGTTCATTTTTTCGAGTTTGTTTCTTATTCATCGATAATTTTCATAAGTTTTAATTCAAAAGACCTCCAGCTTTCTTTACCTTGTGTCATTCATAGTGATAATGATTTGACTGCGTTCTTTCATTTTGAATTTGATATGAGAAGTGAGACACGATTACGAGCCAATGATTGGGCAATGAAAATGAATTTAGACCTGAATGCTAATGTCACCGCCATAATCATACGAAGCCTTCGATTTTGAGCGTGAACAGAGTCTCTCGGCTTTCTTTGGGTAAGTAAGGAAATTTTTCGTTTCCAGTTGGCCTGGAATCTTCATGCTTATTTAATAGAATTAGTAGCCTAATGTATAACCATTTAGGAGACACAAAACGCCAGATCTCATTACAAAAACTCAACGAAATGACCCGCAGTCGACAAAAGACTGGTGGGCTCGCGTGATATTCTCAAACAGCTTTGGAAGCAAACAAGTGATGAATCGACTAAGTATTTGTAAAACGGCATCAAAACGAGCTCTTCGTTTCGTTTGCAATTTCAAATTAACGGACGAGCCTGTCAGATTGACGAAAGTGTTGCGCAGACATTTTCAATTCAAAACTACAACAATCTTAAGTCATCCACCACGTTATCGTTATTTCATTCCTCATAATGAAAGAAATACCATCAAGAGGAAACTGTTCTCTCATCAATTCATTATAACTGAGTGCGCTATTTTGATCTATCTTCCCTTGCGCGTATGTTGCCCTAAATTTTCGATTTTAAACAATTAATTCAAATTTTGACCTCTTTAATAAAGCAAATTAAAATTTTGAAATAAATGCAAATTTCGAAATAGTGACAAATCTCGATGAAAAGGGCTTAAACAAAGTTTGGACCAGTCCTTCGAAGAGTTGCAATGGACGTACTCAAACCTCTTCTTACTTACGTAAACGCAAATTCAAATATCGAAAAATATAGTTGCTAATAAGACAAAATAAATAATAGCAGTTTGACCACGCGCGTAAGCAATGTTATCATTGGGCTGTGAGTTGAAGTTTAATTTTCTTGTTTTAAAGTTCCTGGGTATTGAGCAGTATTTAGAATTTCTTTACAAGTGTTATCAACTCTTTTCCAAAAATCTCTCTTTATCAATTGATTTATTTTTGGTCATAATGCCTTCAAAGGACTGTTTCAAATTTAAGATCAAGCGATCAACTTCATTTCTAGGTTAGTTTGACTTCCTTTTTTCTTAGATTATGATGTTGCAGATTACAACACAAATGAAGGTAAAAATAAACTTGGACGAAAATTTTTAGCCGGCATAATTTTTTAATCATAACACTTGCACCTACGTTGCTCTAATCAATTTATTTGCCTCGTGGGCTTCGAAATTTTGACCGAATCGTTTTAGCAGGTAAACATAATCCACGCGTTTGATCTGGCAGCGACCTTGAATGGACCAATTATATTCAATAGAGAGTAAACAGTCCATTTTGTTTTTATTGGCTGGTTGATAATCAAATTGAGGGAACGAAAGGTTCACTGTTGCCTAAGAGTACCAATCTTTTTAACCGGATCAGAACTTCCGTTTGAAGATTGCTCAGTGCGCAAACAAATCAGGATGCGGTGATCCTAAATTAACTTATCATGAACAAATTCGTGAGTCGAGTGGACAATATTCAACGACGTCTGATTATTTTCCGGAACAGTTTTGTTTTTATTGACACCTGCAAAGCCTCCTTTAATTCAACAGCTGACCTGATAAGTATTTATAAAATGAAAGAATTGTCAAATTCTCGTGAAAAATTAGTATGTAGCTGGTATGACGAGGCGTTTCGTTCGTCAACAGACTCGTGTAGCAGCTTTTTCCAATGTTCAAGCGAACTAATTTAGCAGCAAAGTTCAAGATGTCTGAAGTCTGGCCCTTTATCGCCGACTGATCCTCACGCACGGGCATATGTACTGTTGATTTCCCGCAATTTAATCCCATGTCCGTTTTTGCCTCTGACCAGGGGCATAAAATTGTTATCAAATCATACAAAACCGGAATTAACTCGATAGTTAATGACTTCCACTCATAGGAAATTGTCACACATTCTCGAAACAATTATTTCTTCTGAGACTAGGCAGCTGAGAGTTTTTCTGGGGAAGGTGGGTAAAATTTTCAGGGCTGCGGTATCAATAATTGCTCTCAAGATTGTGAAATCCAACCTTATCTACTCTACATTGGTGCCATTCTTGAAACCATTACTTAATAAAGGCTGAAAAAACAGGACAAAACAAAAAAAAAACAAAAAAAAAAAAAAGAGAGAAAAAAAGCGAGAGAAAGTAACCACGGGGAGTTTTGGCAATCACTCAACCAAGTAAAATCCTCTTTAAGAAGGACTTGAACGACGGCTAAACCTCGGTGGTCGCATTTAAGCCTCGATTTTGAGTTTCGCCAATCATACTGAGAGTTGTTCGCCTGAAAGAAAAATTGTGAAGCTGATCAAGGCGCATCCGGCAATATGAGTTATCACGCAAAGTAACATGTCTTAAGAAGAGAAACCTATATATTTATCGTGCTCACTTCCATGGAAACGTGTGCGAAATTTCTTCACTTCTCGACTCATTTATCATCACCTCCCGCTAATTAAGAACAACTTTGATTTTTCTGACGTTTGAGATACGAGAGCTGGAGATCATCACGTTTACGTTGTTCCGGCCTTGACATCGAAAGCATTTGCAGAATGAGGTGAACAATTTGTTTAATTAAAACATAAAAGAATCTCGTCAAATGTCAGAAGAACACTTGAAAAGCAATTAGCCTGGGAAAAAAATCAGAATCTTTTCAGATCTTTTCCCGGCTTCTTCGAGTTGTGGTAAGTTTGACAGCTTTCTTGTCTTCTATCTCATTCGAAAATTAAAATTAGAACTTTAGAGTAGATTATCCCCATAGCGCTAGTACGGTGGTCAGAATGCCGTTATCAAGACACACCGTCTGGCCACAAAAATTGATTGCGATAATAAGACGATGACTGAACCTGTAATATTTTGGAGACACAACGACTGAGTCTTGATATCAACATGGTGGTTGTATTTCGTTGAAGGAGGAGTGTTCTCCGTACATGTTAAAATTCAAGGCTATGTGGACGGGTTTGCCAGAATTAAAGGATTTTGTTAAGGTGAAGTAGTAATGCGCAAGACGCGTGTGTGGGGCCAAGATCACGAGCCAAAATCATTTGAGGTGAGATCTCTTCGATAGCGGCTTTTGACGCTTTGTTAGAATATATGAAAAAAATTATAGTTATGAGTTAAAATTATAGGAGTGCACTGGTCTTATTCAGCCGAGTTCGAGTCATCTCAGCCAGATTTTATTCATTATAACAGAGAATTTATTCACTTGCGATGGAAAAAATATCTTTTCCAAGCCACTTGACAGCGTAGGTCAATTCAACACGGTCTTAAAATCCAAGAATCTTTCACCACTAACGCGTAGATTGAGACAATTTGTGCTTAAAGTACACCAAGATTACGAATGGTTTGCTTACACATCTTACATGTGCGAGCTACTCATGACTTTAGCACAACATGACATAAAGTGTCACATACAACCATGCCGGAACATTAACTGTTATGAAAAAAAAAGGAAAAAAGGGGAGCCATGTGCTGTTAATTCATTTTTAATTCTATGGGTTATTTTGGGCGTGCAATCGCAGCGACCTCAATGAAGAGAATTTACATTTGAGTTTGTGTAATGAAAATATGGGATAATTAGAAAGTACACCTTTTATTTTGATAAGAAATCAATGAATAAGCATGAAGACTTCACTTATACTCTTCCTTCCGGCCGTAAATATACGTTTGACCAAATCTTGAAACAGGAATTTCACCGGCAAGATAAGGCAAGTTTGGAAGGATTCCAGAAGCATGCGATCAATCGGGGAATGCCTCGACCATTTTTCTTGCAAGAAATTTCACTCGATATTTTCGGAGAGCTTTAATGAATAAGCATAGGGTCAGAGCTTGAAAACCCGATATCAGTCTTTGTATGATATCATGATCTTAGTCGTTTGCAGGAGGCGTATTACATACAAACCTTGTATTGATCTAGTTCACTGTTTCAACTTCTATGTAGCTTCATGATAGACTATCAGAGCGCAAAATTCTAAGGTTCGATTCCTTATGAGGGTATTCGGATTTTTTTCTTTTCCAACCAGCGTGAATAACCGATTTAAGTCTCTTTTTATGTACCATCTTTTTTATTTCGTTTTTTTTATACATTACTCTTAAAAGATATCGACATGTCAGTTAAGGAGCTGTCAAAAGCATCAACGTCGGCTGAGCATGGAAAAGCGTCGATTACCAAATTCGTTTTCTCAATAGGCTTGAGCCTGTCTGGCGGCATCTTTGAAGGCGCCATACGTACTTTTATCATACCAAGACAGAGATGGATTTCTAAAAGACACATCGATCATTTGGTCGAGATTCTCGTTTGTGAAAGACAACTACGAAATGTCGAGAGTGTTACAGCGAACGCGCAAATTTTTCGCCATCACCACGTTACTTCGCTTCGCTTCGTGGCTTGCTTTAGGTTGTTTTTGAGTTCCAATTTTATATCCAAAAAGAGACAAATTATCTGATAGGGCAAAGTATCCATACATGAAGACATTGATAGCCGTTCATAGAAGTCACAAGATGTAATCCGCTATTTCTAGTGCACTGTTTCCTAGTTTTCTGTAATGAACCCAAAACATGGCTCAAATTTAAAATAAAAACTGTTTAAATATGATTAAATTTAAAACGCCTTGTTTATTTTCCCAGCCAGCAAGACAGACTATAAAAGTAAACGAAGAAACGACGCAAATATTATTTTGCGTTACACCTATTCGGGTTGGCTGACACGACAAACAAATTGCCGATATTAATATTGATCAAAACCGCCAAAGAGTTGAATTTATGAAACAAGGTGAATTTTGTGGGCCAGCGAAATTTCAGCTTCTGTCCAACTGCAACTGTCCTCGATATTTAGAACATAATACCAACGAATTTGTAAAATTTTGAGCGTTTTATTTTTTTTCTTTAAAACAGCTCATTATAATTCAAATTCTAACCCAAACAAAAATGTAGCCGCTTATAATTTCAGTTTGGATATATCACTAAATTGAAACGCTGTTGAAAGACGTTAATTACGCCAAATTGCGCCGGCCGCAGAGACCACGAAAAACGAAGAGCTAACACAGCCGGAACAAGATAACGAGGATGATATTTCTGCTTATTAAGATGTACAAAATATATAAAAGACGCATCTTATTCTTTCGTTTATTAACTCAAAAGGTTGACTATTTTTTTTGCTGTCTCTTCAACAGACTTGATAACTTATTCATAGGCACGAAAACCGTATCTGCTTGCTTATCAGTCTTGACGTCATCGTTGAAACACCAAAGATCTATTATTCCTCTTCGTGAACAATAAGCAAACACAAGCAGGCTGTCGTTCTTTGCTACTCACTTCCCTCCAACAAGGCTTCTTGTGAGGTAAGGTATCTTTAAATACGGTCACTTATGCATGTATTTTGGCCAAATCCGATAAGTAACACTTCATTTTTAGGCTTAAGCGCTTAACAATTGGGACCCTTTCTGAAGAAAGGCTAAATTACCATGCTCAGTGAAAACAGTTTTATCGTTATTGTTTAAAGAGTCCTATTTCTAAAACTCCACGTCGATTGTTTTCTAATATTCCTTGCAGAGAGATGTTACACTAAAGAAAAACCATGTATGGGATGCTCTTGGAAAGCGTAGAGCATTTCTTGAAAGAGAAATACGGTGAAAAAATCTGGCATTTAATTCGTCAGCGGACAGGAATTAAAAATCATGTATTCGTGACACACGAAAGGTACTCAGATAATCTGATGTTGGAAATCGCGTCTGCAGCGGTAGAAGTACTCGGAAATGAGACAAAAATGACCTCGGAAGACTTCATTCAATTTTTTGGGACGTGCTTTGTGAAATTTTTCAGCAACTACGGCTACGATAGGTTTATACAAATAAGCGGCAGGCATTTTAGTGACTTCCTACGAGGAATCGACAATTTACACGAACACATGCGATTTGCTTACCCAAAGCTCATGTCACCGTCATTCTACTGTTCAGAAGAGGCAAGCACGGGATTACTGCTACACTACAAATCTAAACGTCGAGGATTCCAGCGATACGTAATGGGGCAAATGATGGAGGTGGCTAGCATGTTCTACAACATCGTTATTGAGATGCAAGTACTTAAAAGCGATTCAACTGATTCAGGTTGTCACGTTGTTTACAAACTTAATTTTGACAACTCGGCTTTTAAACCTCCTACGCCCGACGCTTTGTCAATTCAACATAATCGCGATTTATCTTGCGAGGCTTTTTTTCATATCATGCCGTTCAGTTTTCTCGTGACGCCTGACATGAAAATATATATGGCAGGAAAGGCATTATCTTCAATGCTTGGAACCATTTTAGTTGGAAATCGTGTAGATGCAGTTTTTGCCTTACGACGACCTCAAAGGGAATTTTCCTGGGAGAACGTAAGTGGGTTTTGCAACTGCTTAATTTTTTAAACGAATTAGTATATTTGTAGACAATGACACTCGGTAGAAAAAAATAATTTAAAATCGCATACGAATTAGTAAATTTGCATTGGTTCAAGAATATACTATAAATTGATATTACAAATGCAATATTTCCCTCGCGCACGGAAACAAAAAAAGCTTCTAAGTTGAACTCCATTTCCATGGGAAAACTTTGATAGTATATGCGACAGAAGATTTAAGTAAACAAAGAAACAAAGTCATCAGCGTTAGTGCGACTAAAGACTTAACACATTTTCCGCATGGTAGCGTTGTCCAATTTCCAATTACGATGATGCCAATTTTAGATAGGTGTGTTTGCAAAAATCATTAAAAAAATGAAAGTGCAAAATTAAACATTTTTTAGATAACGGTAATATTTTGACATGTACATATTTGTGGGAAAAAGCGCTTTAGTTTTTATCTTAAATCTTCTATCTCTGGCGTAATTAATTTACATCTGCCTCATTAATTTATATTCTACCCCGGGGACATTTAAAAATAAACAAATTTTTTTTCGTTTTCAAGCGTAAAATTTTGTTGCCAAGGTCAGAAACTCAGGTAATCCTCCCTGATTCTAGATTTTCTAAGTGATTGCTAGATAAAAAGTGCCATGAGAGTTTTCGGTCAAGTTCAGCCTCAAAATTAATTAAAAAGCGGAAGTGAAATTGGCCGTGCCTAATGCAGATGCAGTAACTAAACTGTTTATAAATGCAGATGCTCACAAAAATCATGTCCCGCGCTTCGGGGCCCATTTGCTATATTTAACAGTATCTCTTCGTTGTCCAGATGCGTTCGTTTGATACAAGATTGTATTAAGACACTGCCAACAAAGTTATAGATAAAATTGTATTAAATCTTTCTTTTTTTATATGCAGATTAAATCATGGAATGTCATCTGCGAATTAGTTGGCAAACATCCGTGCTTAAAGCATCACTCCAGCAAAAAACCTCCGCTGAGGGCTGTGAAATCAGTGGGTAACGAAGATCATCTTAAACCCAGAGAGTCAAACCACATTTTAGAGCGTAGAACGATATTGGACGAAACCGGACATCACAACGGTTTCGCGGCCCTTAAATCACGGCGACATAGTGACCATCCGCTAAACGGTACTTTGGTAACAAAATTTTGTGGAAGTGATTACTCGGCTAAAGTGTCGAGGCCTTTGCATCTGAGAGGCCAGATGAAATATCTAAAGAAATACGATATGGTGTTGTTCATTTGTTCTCCTATGTAAGTTGTTATATCATACTCAACTCATCTAACGTACTGGCCGACCGACTGACTGACCTTGACTTCCTGACTGACTGACCCTGACTGACTGACCTTGACTTCCTGACCGAGTGATTTGACTCACTGACCGACGGACTCGACCAATAGTCTGACTAACTAATTCACAAACTGTCCGACATTTCCAAGTTATTTCATTTCTTTTTACCCTTATTTTTGTCTTAGTCTTACATTGTGACTATTTTTTTGTCGTTTCCCGAGTGGAAAGCTTTGCTCGTTTTTTTATCCAATATGGCTTTGACACCACTATCAAATATTCTCGTAAACACAATATATGAACGACGATGAACTATAAAGCTTCAGAATGGCATCTAACATAATATTATATATTATATATCCTGTCTTGAAAGCTCATCATTTTAACATGTCTCTTACGAAAAGCTTTTCACCTCTCCAAATAGATCTGCGGACAATTGTGATGTATTGCTTACACTGAGCACAAGCAGTAGAACTACTATTTTATTTCTGTTTGTCTTCGAGCAAGACAACTTTCATTCCTTTTAAGTCTTTAGCATTCTTTGCACAAAATTTCATTACCAGCGAAACATTTCACACATTCATTAAAACATGTGAATAAATCTCTCTTAATTTGTGGATGATGCACTTGGAAATTGTATTTAAGGTAATTGCTTTTAACTGAACATATTCCATTCTCAGGATAAGCAGTGTGGAAGAAATGGCCCGTACAGGGATGTACATAAGTGATCTGAGAATGCATAACTCCTCGCAAGAGATGGTTTTATCTGGTATCCAGCCTCTTCCAGAGCTTGAATATGCACGTGATCAGGTACCAGGAGACTTTATAGTTGTCCTCCGGGATGTCATGCCATGCCCTGGAGCGTTGCGTGACATCCCAAAGAATTGGCTGAATAGGCTACGTCACGATGTCTTGTTGTTTCGTTATTA